GCCACCACGGGCCAGTGGGAGGTGGTGACAGAGAGCGAGGGGAAGCGGGAAGCAGCTGTCTTTGATGCCGTGCTGGTGTGCACCGGGCACCACAGTGAGGCACACCTTCCGCTCAGCACCTTCCCAGGTACCACCCGCGCCCCCGTGCAAGGAGAGACCCCAGAAAGCTCGGCCACAGGAACCCCTGTTCTCCCTGCTGCTCTTCCTCCTGGCCTCAGCATTTTCCTGCCTTGCTTCAACTTGGGGAGCACTGCCACACTCCCCAGGAGGGGTCTGGTGGGGCCAACGAGGGTCCCCACTTCAGTTTTTGGGGAGGTGGCCCTCCAGCTCAGCACCAGGAAGCCAAGCATCCTTCCTCCCTGCCCACAGGCATCGAGAAGTTCAAGGGCCGCTACCTCCACAGCCGAGACTACAAGGATGCCCAGGATTTCACGGACAAGAGGGTCGTGGTCATCGGCATTGGGAATTCGGGGTCCGACCTGGCCGTGGAGATCAGCCACACGGCCAGCCAGGTGAGCAGCGCAACCACTCCGTCCCAGCACTCACTGCATTCGGCAGTGCCAGCAGCCAGCAATCCCAGTTGCAAGGCAGCCGTGGCAGCCAAGACTCGATCCCATTCGAATACCCCTATTACCATCCCCGAGACCCAGGCTGGGGCTGCCTCTGTTGCTCTTCTCTACCTCTCCCTGCCACATCCCCACCCCTGGCTCTCTCTGCCCTCTGGGTCTTTGCCCAGCACCCACCAGTGTGAAGAGTGATCCTGGGGTGAGGACATACACCCCCTGGGGCAGCCCCCCAGGACCATCACAGCCTTCAAGAGGGGATGCTTCCTTCCTCACCCAGGTCTTCCTTAGCACCCGGCGGGGCGCATGGGTCCTCAACCGGGTCGGAGATCAGGGCTACCCCATAGACACTGTCATAACTACCCGCAAGATGACGTTCCTGAAGAACCTGCTGAGCTCATCCATGGCGAGCGACTTCGTAGAGAAGCAGCTGAACGCGAGGTTCGACCACTCACACTATGGCCTGAAGCCAAAGCACAGGTGCCAGCAAACATTCCCCCTGTCCAGGAGGGACCCCCGGTTTTCCCCGTGTCCAGCCCTGCTTGGCCATTTCCATGCTCCCTGTGCCCCGGCTGGGGCTGAGGCACCAGCCCTGAAAATCCAGTTAACAGCTGTGATGAGCCCAGGCAATGCTCGAGGGAGCCACCACTGCCCCTTCCAGGGACCCTTGGTGGCACCAGTGCAGTAGCAGCTGCTGAGCATCTCTGGGGGACCAACTCCACTGGTGATGAGCACCCTCAGGGCTGAGCATCCCTGGGGATGAGCATCCTTAGAGCAGGACACGGAGCAGAGACACCCCAACCCAGCACCCTGACAACTCCTTGTGCCTTCCAGGATCACTGACCAGCACCCAACCATCAATGACGACCTGCCCAACCGCATCATTTCGGGAAGGGTGCTGGTGAAGCCAAACATCAAGGAGTTCACAGAGACATCTGCCATCTTCGAGGACGGCACGAAGGAAGACATCGATGCTGTGGTCTTTGCCACAGGATACAGCTTCTCCTTCCCCTTCCTTGAGGGCTACGTGAAGGTGGTGGAGAACCAGATCCCCCTCTACAAATTCATGTTCCCCCCGGACCTGGAGAAGCCGACGCTGGCTTTCATCGGCCTCATCCAGCCCCTGGGTGCCATCTTTCCCATCGCCGAGCTCCAGTGTCGCTGGGCCACCCGTCTCTTCAAGGGTAAGCAAGGCAAATCCCCACAGCACCCAGGCACAGGCAGCACTGCCATGGCCCCTGCTGCTAGCGGGTGCAGCACCCCCACACTGTGGCTTATCCTCCCTAGGGCTGAACAAGCTGCCCCCACGGCACGACATGGAGGCGGACATCAAGGAGAAGAGAGAAGCCATGGCAAAACGGTAAGACCTCCCCAGGAACCGGGAAGGGGCTGGTTTGGGCACGGCTGCTTGCGGGCACCCATCCTGTCCTGTGGCTGTGTCCCAGCACGTTTGGCTTTGCCAACAGACGGCCGGGATGTGCTCGGCTACGCTATTCCCACCCTGCTGATCCTTCCTGATGGCAGTCCATCCAATACCACCTTGCCGGCGTGCAGAGCACCTGCCAGCTCTGCTGCCAGCACCCACCTACCCTCCCTGCCCGCAGGTACGTGAAGAGCCAGCGGCACACCATCCAGGTAGATTACATCCCCTACATGGACGAGCTCGCCTGCCAGGTGGGGGTCAAGCCCAACATGCTCAGCCTCTTCCTCACCGACCCCAAGCTGGCGCTGGAGGTGTTTTTCGGGCCCTGCACACCATACCAGTACCGCCTGCGGGGCCCGGGCGCGTGGGCAGGTGCCAGGGAGGCCATCCTCACCCAGCGGCAGCGCATCATCAAGCCCCTGCAGACGCGGCACGTGGAGGAGCACCCCTCGGCCCTTGCCGTGCCCCTCACCTTCAAGCTGGTTGGGGCTGTGGCTGTCCTCGCCATCATTGTTGCTTACTTGTAGGTGTCCTACAAATGTGGGAAGGGGGGCTTTGCGATGTGCTGGGGGGCTGGCCGGCTACCCCTTGCCCCACAGCAGCCTGTGCACCCCAGTGCTGGCAGGAGCCCTCCTCCTGCCAGGCACAGCCCAAACATAGCCACACCGCAAGCTTGGGATGCTCAGAGCCTCCTTGGCTGCCAAAATAATGCCTCAGGACCTGGTCTGTGCCACCCATCCTGGGGAGCCGTGGGGACAGGGGAGGAAACCTGCTCACGTGCAGAGTAAAACCCAGTCCCTCTCAGCCAGCACTTTTGACCTGGGACGCACTGGGCTTTTCTGTCACCTGTAACCCAGCCATGCCACCGCTGGCACGCTCACCCAAGAGCTGAGCAGCAAAGGCACAGCAGAGTTCCTAACTGGTTAAATGTGTTAAACAGAGCCAAGTGTCTGTCCCGTTACTGACACCGCCACAACCCCTGCGTGCCAGGGAGATATGCAAAGGCTTGTAGTCAGCCTCGTGCTGGCAGCACGGGCTGCATGCTAGCACACGTGTGCACATGCATGTACCCACAGCAAAACAGCCTTGCCCACGCTGCTGGAGCCGGACACGGTGTTCACAGCAGCACAGCTCAGTGCCACCCTTGTCACTGGCA